AATAGTCTGGAAGAATGAAGAAATGGAAAGCCTAACTGTATGCACACTACCATTTTCATTGACAGGTGAGTAAGGAAAACGTATGCAGACCTGCTATCAACCATAGATGAGCCCACTGCAGATTGGATCCTTCCCCTTTGCTTTTGCTTGGGTGCAGAGGTCTACAGGGAATGTTCCCAGGTAAGGATGAGTAGAATATCTAGGGGTTCAAAATTGGCTAATACTATTTTTCAAGGCAACACAGTGCTGTTCTTTCCCAACACGCAACTCTGAAGATACAGCCAGATTGAGATGAATTTCAGTTCTATCCAGAAGTGATTCAAATGCATCTTAAAGACTTACATTTATGTCTCACCCTTTGCTTTTATATATTTCATGGCCAATTTTCATCTTTCATTTCAGCATCCCTGATAGAATATTGAGCTATGCTTTGGCTCTAGATATGAAGATTTGAGAAAAGAATTTCTATAATAGGAATAAGTCATAAGCCATCTTTTGTTTCATTGCAGTGTAACCAGAAGTAGGGTTGGAAAATCCGGAGGGAAAGGCAACTTCATCACACACACACACACACACACACACACACACACACACACACACACACACACATACTGGCTCTGTGGGAACAGAATTGATTTAAAATCTGTACCAGGACTTCTGATGTGGTTCACAGTCATCTTAGAGAACTTGAGTTCTTCAGTAACAGAGAGTGCCACAAGCCAGCTTGCTTGCTGTTGATTTTGATTTTGGTTTATTTCCTTCCTCACAAGTTTTTAAGTAAACAGTGTGTAGCTTTAGAAGTCTATTTGAGAGACATCACAAAAAAATAGGGGGCAATACTCACAAATCAAGCCTTAAAGACATTCTCCACTATCAAAATCACTTCCAACAAAAACCAGGGAGGCATGTTTAAAATATTTGCTCTCAATGATGTAAGACTAAAATCAAAAGAGCCCACAAAGCAGTCTGGAAAAGCTATGCCTATCCCCACACTGATATTGCTATTGTTTTATTTCTGGTTAGAACCACAAAATGAAGTATGTCATGTCTCAAAACACAGTATAGTAGACAGAAGCAGAGAAGCCATATAATCCTGCAATAATGACAAAGAAAATAAAAACATAATCAGAATGCAACACAAGCTCATATGAAAAAAAATTCAATTCTGTTTCATAAGAAACATTGATCTTGAGTTCTGAGTCCTCCCATTTTGGTCACCATGCATTTACGAGGTCAGTACCTTCTCTGCTAGGATTCGGCTGAAGACCTTGACCCTTGTAGCCAGAACATAAGATACAGGCTTAACTTTTTAAATTGGTTACACCTGAGGCTGCTCATAAAGTCACTGAGCACTCTCATTGCAAGACTGAAGATGCTAAGAAGAAAAATAAGCAAACAATTGACATCAGCAATGGCTCCTTTAAAATCACAATTAATATGATTTGGTAGAACTTTATTTAGCTAGATAAGTAAATTAAAACCACCTACATGTCATGTTCAAACACCAAGAGGACATTTTATCTTTAAATTCTTTCTCCATGTATACTATTTAATACTTGTGATCTTGTTCATGAAGATTCACTATAGAACCATTCAAAGATGACTGCAAGAATGAACCATTAATAGCTGCACTTGGTTTGAACTTCACTAGTGGCTCAGGCTTTCTTTTTCCCACCTGTTAAAGATGCTTTCTGCTAAGTAAAGGAATTCCAAGAGTCCAGAACAACCTCAGTTTGCATTGGCAGTACAATATAGGCACGTTTGAAATCGGAAGAAACAATTCCAACTTCCATCAAAGGGAAAGTGTTTGTACATTTTACAAAACCACTCCTCTCTGTCTGTAGTGCATAGTCTCTTTTGGCTCAAAGAAATTTATTAATTTATACCATGGCTACAAAATGTTTTCAGGAGTACTGTATTAAACCCTACAGTAGCAGTGTGTTTAAGGTATTTGTTTTCAAAAGAGTCTGAAGGAAAGAATTGTTCTGTGTCACTGAAAAGATAAGTTCTAGAGATGCAGGGAAGTTTGGGACCCCCGAAGTTAAAGGGATGAGGACAGGAAAATAAGAGTCAAATGCCAAGCTCTCTTTGTTTTCTTGCTGTTTAAGTTCAGTTTTATTTTTTCTCTCAATTCCATATCAAAAATAAGCCTTTCACATAGCAAGTACTGTGAATAATAAAATACCCTTTTTTTTAAGTCCTGTTATCCTTTGGCCAGTGAACACTCGTTATCTTTCTCAGTAAACAAGCTTCTACTCAAAGAGCTATCATAATTTTACAGATCACAGCCATCACCTTGCCAAAGATGAACAAAAATGTATTCATCCTCTAAGCCTTGAAATGTTCTACTCAAAAAGCCAAGATCCTGGCCATTGAGGAATATGTGGGTTAGTCTCACAAAGACAGGGCATCGTCCTTAACTGCCTTCAGGTGCTACAAAAGAAGCCAGGATGATCATACTTAACAGTGAGGGTGGGGAGCAAAGAGAAGAACAAACCTACTAAAGTATAGAGATAGGTAATGTGCACAAACCAATTTATCATCTGGGAACTTTAATGCCATAACCAAAACAAATGAACAATTTGAATGACAGCTACTTGGGCCATAATTCAGCCTACTATAGCAATGCTGATAATCCCACAAATGAAATATCTCCCACCTTGTTAATCAGCCAAAAATCTTAGATGAAAAAATAAACTGTTCATCCTTTGAATTACCATACAGCCTACCTACTTAAACTCACCTTGTATGGAAACCACATATTCCTTTCATTAAAATGCCTCTTCTTAGGAAAGCTAAACCAGGCCATTAACTACTAAATCTGCATGCTTGCATTTTTATCTCTTTACTCAATCCTCTTTTAAGGATTTCAGACATAGAAAGAGCTGGACCCTAGTTATAAATGAAAGAAACACTGCTTACATGTCTATGCAAGCACCAAGACCCTTTACAGGGTCCCCACCTCTTTTCCTTGAGGCGCAGAGTCCTGTCAATAATCATGACTTATTAAACAGGCTGCCATCCATTCCCTTCTGCTGAATGTAGAACAAGATCATGGAGGGGCAGAAATAATTACCTTGGGCTCTTCTTTAAAGACCGCCTCAGAATGGAAGGTAGGAAATCAATACAGAAAGGACAGGGAAATGCCCCCACTGTGATCCCCACAGCGCCCCCCCAAGAGGGGGGAGGTGAAGTAGAGTCACAATCCATTATTCATATCAACTGCTTCAGAACATGAAAATTCTAAGGTCTTCAACATAGAGAGGATCCTATCTTAGTGCAGTGAATGTACTCACAAGCACCACCAGTCCTTTATCCTGCTACAACACTCAAGCTAGATTTGTTGAAAGGAGCCAGAGCACCCTCCCTCCTCTGGAAAATGTGCTCTCAGAAATCACCACTTCAAGCAAAGCAGGGGGAAGCTGCAAGAACTGCCTTTCTAGGTTGTGGCAGAAAGCTTCCTTCTCTTTGCCTTCCTGTCTCCCACTGACCATCTAGGGAGAGATACAATTTTCTAAAGCAGTGTAAGAGCAAAAGTCTCCGTCTCCGGCCTTTACTTACAAGTACACTACATTAAAAAAAAAAAAGTCACAAATGTTAAATAACACCCTCGGCAAGTAAGATCAGGAGTCAGGGAAACAAAAAATTAACACAACTGAAAATAACCATTATATTCCTACCAACACTGAGCAGTGAGGAACACTTTTTCTTTTGCCCAGATGTTATAGCTCAAAACATGAATACTAAAGACAACATATCCAGACCGTCTCTTTTCTTTTCTCTTTTCCCCTTTCTTTCTTTTTTCTTTCTTTCTTTTTTAGAATGGCTTTACTTGGAACTTGAACTGACATACTGGGGGCTTGTCCTGAATAACCTTCACAGGCTGCACAAGTGTTTTCTGATCCGAATCCTCAGGCACAAACAGAAGGTTCCTGGGATTTCTGTTCACTAAGCGGAGAGGGTGGGGTGGAGGTCAATTAGTTACCTGCAATGTTCATAAAAATGGAAAGCTTACAGTTCCAAAGAGAAAGCGATCATGTCTAAGAGGTACACTAGCCGCTACTGGTACCGACTGAAATGCTATACCCAAAGGGTGACATGTTACAAAGAGCTTAGACATTGTACTAAGCCGGGTCCTAGTCTGCTCATCATCTACAGGGCGTGAGGAAGAGATCAGGTTTACACCCCTCACCCCTCTGGGAAAGGAACAAAAGCAAATGCTTGGCACAGCTGAAAAAAATAAGAAAAAACCCTCCTCCATCTCCAGGACCCTGGGGGCCGCAGCTCTGCAGCGTTCCCATTGCATTTCCTTGCAGTTAACTCACTCCAGTGGCCTCAGACGCAATTTCCACACCTGGCAATGGCCAGGGACAGGTTGAGGGGAGGGGTCCATCTGGGAGCGCCTCATTTCCCTACCTCTCCCAATGGCTTCTAATTAACCCTTCCCAGTCGCTGCCCCGGCAGGGATGCTGGGAGAGTCGACAGCTACATCCTAAGGACATCACTAACAAATACCTGCATCCGATCTTCACCCCCACACTGGTCATAACTTCCCTTTGTGAGCTATCATAGGCCAGTTTGGGCTGTGCTTAGAAAAGCTTCCCACAGGAGGGCGGGAAGCGTTGGGTGCACCAGGAACAGTCTCATTCCTCTCCAAGCCACTATGGGGAACACAACCTGGGCTCACTCTCAAGTCTGCAGTGAGGAAGATTTGCACTCGCCTTAACCCTTTGAAGGGAGTCAGGAGTCTATTCTCATTTGGGACCCACTGAAGTAGGAGCCCTGGCTCTGGAGATATCCTTCACTTGCCTGAAGCCCCTACTCCGCACACAGACACAGCAGAGACCCACACCTTTGGCCCCCTTGAGGCCATTTTTAACCATAGCCTCGCACTCTGCCCCAAACCGGGTATTGGGGAAGTGGCAACCAGGAGAAAAGAGAGCCAGAAGGCAGAAAGAAACTCGGCAGTAAATCACAGCTGAGACAAGGAGTCTACTTACGAAATTTGGGGCTGGTGCTAGTTTCTGGGGTGGTGGTAGTGGAGGAGGTGGTAGAGGGTGAGGAGGAAGAGGCGGCCGCAGCATCCTGAAAGGGTGACAGGGTCCAGGAGGGAGTGGAATCGTGGAGGTAGGAGGAGGTAGCATACGCCGCAGTGGGCCAGGAAGGCATTGCCTGCGTACTAGGGGCTCCTGGCATCGGGGGTCTGGAGCCTGGCGTACTGCTACTGAAGAAAGGAGCCGTGGTGGACAGGACCGTCGGGGGGGCCGCAGTGTTCCGTGCCGTGGTAGAGCGCGGGCTAGCCCGGATGGGCACCCGGTGCCCAGGGAAGCGAGTGGGAGCCCGCGTGATGGTGGTAAAGCGGGTGCTAATCCGGTTAGGCGTCCTGGAGGAGGCAGCGCCGCCGGCGGAGGGGGTGGCGGGGGACATGGTGGAAGTGGTCGTAGTGGTGGTTTCCATAGCCTTGGGGAAAGAGCTGGGCTTGGAGAGGAAAAAGGGGTCCTGGCCCATTCCCTTGGAGTCCACCAGGTCCGTGGGCACGTACTCCTTGACGGAGCCCACCACGATCCATTTAAGCAGCATGAGGCTGAGCCCAAGGCCGATGAAGCCGATGAACAGAGGCACCACGCACAACCACGTCTGCTGCCGGTTCCACACGATGCAGTCGCTACAGCGTAACTCCCGGGGGGGCTCGGCCGCCCCTTCTCCGCCGCCGTCCGGGCCCCCGCCCGCCGCCGCCGCCGCCGCAGCCGCCGCGGTGCCCTCCTCGGCCGAGGCGGCGGCTGCCGAAGCGGCACCAGGTGGCGAGGCAGCGGCCGCCCCTTCACTCATCCTAGGAGCCGGTCTTCACCTTCGCCCCCCCGAGGGCCGCGCCAGAGGCATGGGGCCGCGCGGGCCGGGCGCGGGCGCGGGCGCGGGCTCCGGCGGCGGCGGGCTCCGGCGCAGGCAGCGGCCGCGGCGGCCGCATGCAAATCGGCTCCCTGCCCCCACGCCCCTCCCCCCGAGAGGCGGGCGGCGGGCGGGGAGGAGAGGACGGGGGAGGGGACGCGGGCCGGGGAGGGGGCGGCGAGGAGCTCGGAAGAGGGGCGAGACCGGCCCCGGCGCCGCCGGGCCGGTCAGGGAGCGGCGGGGCGCGTCTGCAGCCCGCCTAGCTGCCTCCTGCGCGCCGGGGTCCCCGGACTGCTGATGGTGCTGATGCTGCCGCTGATGCTGATGCTGCCGTGGATGCTGATGCTGATGCTGCCGTGGATGCTGCCCGCCGCCTGTGTGCACTTCAGCCTCGCCGGCATCCTCGGGGCGCCGCGCCCGGCCCGCTCCCTGGGGCGCCTGGCCGCGCCGCCGCTGCCCCCACCTCAGAGCCTCACGTCGCCCTCAGGGGCCCGGGCGGGCAGCCGCGGGATGCCCGGCGCCGGCAAGCGGCATTCCGACACAGGGGGCCAGCCTGGCAGCCGCTCGCCTAACCCGGCGCGCCGCGATGCTCAGTGGCTGCTCGGCGAGCCCGGGCGATGAGGTGCACCTGTTCTTCAGCCGGCCCGCAGCCAACCCTCGGTCAGCGCTCTCCAGGAGAAACCAATCCTAGCGCAGCGCAGAGGGCGAGCGGCCGGGCTCGCCTCGCTCCCGCCGCCCGCGGCTCTGCGCAGCCACTGCCGCCGCCACCCCGAGTCAAACTCCGGCAAGCGACGCCGCCGCCGCTCGGGAGCGGGGGACCCGGGGGCGCACCCCAACCAGCACGCAGAAGATTCCAAACAGCCCCGGCGCCGCTACCGGGTAGAACTGGGAGAGCAGAAACCGGAGACCGCGACGGGGGGTCCCGGGCGACACTGATCCCTAGTCAAAGGCTGCTCCAGGCGGTTTCTCGCAAAAAGCACGCAGCCAGACGGGTGCGGGTGTGTGTTCCAAATCGCCGCGGACGGGGTGAGATTCGGACAGTAGCGCCTCCCACCAACACCTAATGGTGCTTTCTTACAGCGCGCTAGATAAATAAATGGTCCAAGAGGACCCCCGTTGGAGATGTATGGCACCCGCAGCTCCCGATCAGCCGGTCTCTGTTGAGGATCCTGCGGGGTCAGAGACTGAAGCTGCTGGGAGAAGGCGCAGGGCGTGTTAGGTGGGAGGGCGCCTCTGAGCTCCCCTGCCCTGCCGTGGTGCAGCTGGACTGAGAGCTATCTTCGCTTTGGAGTTGCTGAGAGCTGCTGCTGGAACAGACGACCTTTCTGCAATCAGATCTCCAAGCCATTGACTAATCTTTTAAAAAGTATTGCCTTTAATAAATGTAGGTACTCCCTGGTACACACGTCACAGTGCAAGCGACAAAAATGAGAAAAGATCCTAGCTAGTCTCTCAAATTAAGGGACCGGTTTCTCCCCTTGGGGACAGAAAGACAGGTGCACTCTGGTACCTCCCTGAGGACCGAGTGGCACAGAGAGGAAAGAAGCGGGAAGAGCAAGAGAGGTGCTAATATGGTACAGGCTGGTGGTGCAAAGCTATGCTTCCCAACACTATCCAGATTCCTAGGCTAAGGTGGAAATGAAAAAGGCGATTTTATTTTTATTTTATTTTATTTATTTATTTACTTTTACAACCACCAAGCGAGAATGGGAGGTTGAGAATGGCAACTTCCTCATAGTGCACCTCCCAGCACTATCTGGGGACGCTGATGCAGACAGCATTCTACAGTCCTGTGATGCACTTTGCAAAGATGAAGTTTCTTAGGTATCCATTTTATTCACAGGTGAAGAGAAAAAGTGAACGCTACTCTGAGGAGATGGCAGAGTGCAGAGAATGCGTTCAAACAGGAAGCCCTTGGGGCATTGTGCCTACCGGAGTTCTTTGCACAGGCATGATTAATAAATTATTTTTGATGGCAGTAATGTGGCTGTCACCTCTTTTAGCTCTAACACTGAGATTTCCCCCATAGGAAAACCTTTGGTTTTTAATTTGACAGAACATGCCCTAACCTAGTAGTGTTGAATTATGGCATTGAGAACTGTAAGTGTGTGAGGGGTGGGGGTGGGGGGAGTTGAATCCATACACTTGGCTTTCTAATGCAAGGCATAAGTAAAAATTAACCCAGCCTTAGCCTTCTGTGGGCTGCCAGGCATCTGCTCCCTGCCTTTCTCATGCAGTAAATAAAAGCCTTTCCACATTATAGTAGGTGCTGCTGTTGACGGCTTGAAAAAGATTTCTTTTCAGCACTTAGTTCATCACCATTCCTCCCAAATCCCACCCCCAGTATTCTGTGTTCTTTGCTTTCTTCCTCCCCCACTGGAATGAATCCAGATCACAAAGAGAGGAGCTGTAATGCCGCTGTGGGTAAATGCTCTCTTCCTGAAACCACAATTGGACCGTGTCCACATTCTTTTCATGGCTTCCCAAAGCCTTTTCCACTTCTCTTTCCAAATTCCCTCTCCTTCTCCTTGCTACTGGGCTCTAAGAGCTTATTCGTGGTTCCCTATTGAATTCATCTTTTCCAGGAGCACAAGCTACTGTATTCAGCATCAGCTGCTCTCACAGGAAGCATCCCCAGTGGGAGCGGGGCAGGGGAGCCCAATGCCAAGGTATTGGTAGTTTTTCATTAGGAAATAGGTTGTAACAGACTATCTAGGGGTGTTTATCAGATGTAACTATCTTCAGGGTGGAGTTGTACTATAAGGCTTTCTGGTACTAGGAGGTAAGCATTGTAGGGAAGCTGAGGAGCCGCACCCGCAGTAGTCAAGATCAAGCGGTGGGCCCTCTTGGTGCCAGAGACCCAGTAGTAGTCCATTAACTGGCGTGATTTAGAAGCACGGAGAGACAAGCTTCTGAGAATGTCTGTGAGAGATTTCCTAGATTAGGCTAATTGAGGAGGGAAGACTTACTCTAACTATAGTCCATGGACTAATGTGTCTTTCTGAATGAAAAGGAGGAAGATGGCTGAGCACCAGCTTACACCCTTCTGTTCCCTATGACTGCAGTGTGAGCAGTTGCCTCCAGCCTCTGCCACCACCCCTGCCTTATTGTATGAACTGGATCCTTGAGCTGTGGACAAGAGCAAAGCCTTCCTTCCTGAAGTTACTTCAGCCAGCTCTTCCATCAAAAAATGAAATCATTAACTAAAACACCTACACTGTTCTGATGACTCACAGCTTACTAAAGCCAAATATTGGAGTAGGTTCACATTAAGACAGTTTCAGGTTAGATCTCTGGTGCTGGTCATGATTAAAAAAAAAAATGGCCGGGCGGTGGTGGCGCACGCCTTTAATCCCAGCACTCGGGAGGCAGAGGCAGGTGGATCTCTGTGAGTTCGAGGCCAGCCTGGTCTCCAAAGCGAATTCCAGGAAAGGCGCAAAACTACACAGAGAAACCCTGTCTCGAAAAAACCAAAAAAAAAAAAAAAAATGCCTGTGGACCAGTTTTTCAACTATGAAATGGAGCTGCTACTTAGTTTTATGAAAGTGTGTCACTAAGGAGACTATTCACCTGTGGTATCTTTGAAGCATGGTCATCAGCTCATGCCTCTGATGAGTCAGAGGAAACTCAGTTCTTTCAAAGACTTTTAGTGATAAGACCCTTATTAAAAGTTCTTGATTAAGAAGTGCAAGGCTGGGAGTAACCCTTGGCCAAACACTTCAAATCTTTCATCCCATAAAATAGCCCAGCCTCTCAAGTCACTTTATTCTCAGCAGAGCTCTGAAGAAGGTATCCCTACTTGGGGAAGCTATCCCAGCCTAGGAAGAGTACACTTTAAGAGAATTTGATTTTGAGGAAAGCTCTGCCTATGTTACTTTCCTCTTTTTTCTTAGCTCATTCATCCTGAACAAGATGTGAGGCTTGGAGGATACAATAGAGAGCAGGACCCACCTCTCATGAAGTTTATGTTGTAAGGCAAGTGGGTGACAGCAAACAACAAAACAAACTAGAATACCAAACAATCAGAACTGTAGTTTGGGTGCACAAAGAACCAGCTTACTTGGCATGATTGTAGTACATATCCCTTGTGTAAATATCTCTAACTGATTTACCGTCATCCTTTTTAAATTCCTGAGAACTTCAAATTCCTACCACCTGGATGGCAGAGCGCTCTATTAACTGGAGGTTCAATTGTTACTACAGTCACTTAAAAGCCGGGCTGTGTCACAAACCCTATCATTCTCCATATTGCTCTCTGGAATCAAGATCAGAGGCAGTATGATACCTGAGGACATCTCACAGTGTAAATATTTTTCACTGAAGTTCAACCACTTCTGCATGACCATAATCTATTTCCTGTTTATCTCTTGATTTAGTCTGAGCCTACTACTGTGACTGGAACTATAAAAGTTCTATAGAAATTGTGGTGACTTTTGAAAATAGAAATGTGCTCTTTTCTCCATATCTCTCAACAAGTGACGTCACCTGTTTCTTTGGACTCTTCATCAACTCAATTATAAGATCAACCCAAAAGGGCATCAAAAAAACTTCCTATCAAAAAAATTCTTCACAACATCAAGACTTCAAATAATTTTCCAATGCAACATTTCACCAATAAAAATGAACAATAAAATATGTGAGTGATCTAAAACAAATGTCAGAGAGTTGAAAGGTGAGGAATTCCAAATGTAACCACATCCTAGTTGCAAAAGATTATAATATTATCCAAAGACTCATGTACTTTTATTGTCAGCTAATTACTATAAGTTATATTATAAATTAAGCACTGACTATATCGGGATGTGGAACTGGTAATTTGAATGGGTGCTAAGAAAATATTTGATGGTGAATTTCAGATGGAGTTGAGATAGGACAATTACTAAATAGGTTAAAATTTGAACTTTTTTGAAGCACATCTATTTACCAGAGGCTATGTTTTGAACACAATTACTGAGTCTTTTGACTTCAAGTAAAAAAGAAAGGCGACTCAGAAGAATCATAGAGCATTCAAAATTAAA